CCCCCACCTGCCATGCTTCTTTTCATGTCATTCATAGACAAAACCTCTGAACTGTAAGCCAGCCCCAATTCAATATTCTCAATATTTTCCTTTACAAGGGTTTCCATGGCCATGGTGTCTCTTCACAGCAATCCTAAGACAATACATTACTGCAAAAGGTTAAGAAAGCACATGTTTCTTAAACAATACCTTAGGAAATAGTATTCCCTTGAAGGAAAATGGTACTACTGTATTCACAGTCTCTGAAAACAAAACACAAACATTATTAGTCATCGTAGGTGATTTTTTAAAATATGGAATATAGTTTCATGGAGCACTCTGATGAACATCAGAAGCATTTCTAATGGAAATGTAGAGAAAGGACCCCTACACTCTACCTACTCCCCTCCTACAATATCCACAGTGTTCTACCCTGACACTCAGGTACACCAGAGCCTCTCCCTGTACCAGCCCATTTCCATCTCCTAGGGCATCTGAATTCTTAAGACCTATCAGTCTCAGTGAATTGATGAATATATGCATCAAACTAGGTTATATATGTGCAAAGTTAACTTTTAGAGATATTGCTGCACCTTTAGCTGCATATAACAGATAAGAATCTCCCTAAAGTCAGGAGAGATGTTTCATCTGGCAAAACCTCAGGCATGCCAGGCACTATATCATCTGAGTGATATCCCCCATGAGACGGTTCAAACACAGCCAGAACCCTTACACCCCTTCCAATCACACCACCAAAAGCCTAAGAATTCACCCTCAGTTTAAATAAGCAGCCATGAGACTGGCCCTGCACAAGCCACAGGGCGCAGAGGCAGACAAATAAGGAAAGCCAGACAACAAAATGGTGAACTTCAGGTAAGGTCAGAGAGGTAGAAATATTTTGAATGTCAAACAGAAGAAATAGTGGTCTTTAAAAAGCAAAGTGTGGGGGCTGAAAAGATGGCTCAGCGGTTAAGAGCACTGACTATTCTTCCAAAGGTCCTGAGTTCAATTCCCAGCAACCACATGGTGGCTCACAACCACCTTGAATGAGATCTAGTGCCCTCTGCTGGCATGCAGGCAGAAGACTGTATACATTGTATACATAATAAATAAATAAAATCTAAAAAACAAAAAAAAAAAAAAAAGAAAAGTGTGAGCCAGAAAGG